ATCCCAGTTACCTTTCCTTACCATTGGTTTCCTTCGAAAGTGTGGCAGATGCTGCAATATACCAAAATAACAAGCTTCCCAGATGGTATATGAGACAAATCTGATGTATATAGCCATATTCCACTCCAGAACACTTTGTTTCTGAATGTTTTGTCTTTTTAGGTTCTAAGAAATTTTTCGCTGACAATTAATCCTGGTGAAACAGTGGCAATTGTTGGCCCCAGCGGATCCGGCAAGAGCACAACCGTTCAGCTACTTCAACGGTTCTACGATACTGTTGGAGGAAAGGTGGGTTGCATACACATTTGAAATTCCTTTTGCTAAAAACGTGCTATTTAAAAGCCCATCGCGCTTTGATGTCCATCAGAATTTGTGAGGACACAATTATTTGTTGTACAGTATAATGCAGCGTGAAATTTGGCACCACTGATAGAGTGATTTGAAGCCAACTTTAAAAATTCCCATTTAAATTATAATCTTTTCGCCATTTAATTCACCCAAGTTTCTAGTGATCATGTATTTTTTTCTTACCTGAAGCACACAAGTACTGCCCATCTTATTCCTAACGTTGGAACCAAAAACCTTATAATTTAGATCTTCAGTTGATGTCAAGGTTATAATTAGATTGATTTGAAAATATTGTAAATTACAATCATAATCGCAATGGGTTTACTTAATTTCCTGCATTGGATCAAAAGTGGATGAGTAAAAAGCTAGCCAGCGTTTCAAGTAATGACACACTTGTTGCCCGTTACCACAAATACGCTTGAATAACCAATTCGTAAATGCCTTGTCTGACACAAGCCCTACCTTTACAGTCGAGGACAAAGAAAAAATCTCGAACAGGGAGCTTCGGCTGTCCTAGCCAAAGGCCGAGGGACACGTCACAATGGGCTGTAAATGTATGCCTTGGGTGATTTGGTGACTTAGGAGGAAGCAGCCCATCTGGGAGCTGTCGGCGTGATGCAGAATATGTGGGACTAAAATGGTGTGATATTATGCTTCTGTAGCCAAGACAACTATGTGAAGCAAGAAAAAGTGTGAATAAAACAATTACTAGTTCCAATTTCCCAAAGAAAATGTTTCTGAGAATTTTGATTTCCCAACAGAACTCAAACACATAAAGGAGTTGCTTTAAATTATAAAGAGGCTGCGCAAGAAGAATCATCTGGTTACCGTTAGCTTAACCTTGGTAATGGTGTTATAACCGATTGCTTGTCATCGCACTAAAAATTTAAAATGTACGCACACATTATCATAGTTCAAAGGCAAATAGCTCGTGATAGCGCCGCGGCAACAATAGCCGACGTTTGCAGTGGGTACTTCAGTGAAGTGATGTCAGGCTCTGCAGTCTGAATGAGGTACACTAAGTTTCGTTCCTTAGATCTCGACCTTGAGGGTAAGCCGAGGTGTCGTAGCCACTCCCACGTTGTTTACGTTGTTAAGGGTTATAGGTGTGGAATCCCTATGACAGACAACCCCGAACCAAACTGTCATTCCCATTAGACAGGTAAGATGACAAATGCACTCAAAACAGAACCACTTCGATAGGTAAAAGGCGGGCTGCACATTGAGGAAGCCATTCATGTGTTGTTTAGCCACAAAGGTAAAATGACTACTGAACATTTCCTACAGACTTTGCTTTAATTACTTAC